AGGTGATTCTATGATTGAATAGACTGCTCCATACTCTTAAACCAGACACAGTGGGATAAGCTGATGCATGTGTATTGACTTTGTCAGAGGAATGCAAACACAAGTATCAAGTTCTGCCCTAAAGAAACTGGCATATTAGAAACACAGAAATGAGAAAAACAATGGAAAAAAAAAGAGAAGCACCAGAATAATGCAAAGATATTCATTCCCACTTATCCCATTTCTCTGAGCTTCTCTACATGGACCTTTGTGCTAACAAATGGCTGAAAACCAGGTGGAAATCCCACAGTTCTTTAAGCTGTTTGTTGAAATCTTACAGCATTTATCCCACTGAGCTGTTGGCCCATGGTCATCACAATCACAGTGATGAGCTGCCACCTCACGCCGCGGTCAGCAAACAACTGCCAGGGCTTCTTGGGCCTCTCCCCATCCAGGGCAAAACGCTCCCTCTGGATGTCTTCCAGCTCCCTCCTGTACTCTGACGAGCCATGAAATCGCTTCAAAGCTGAAAGAGGAAGAAAACAATTCCTTACATTCACCTGTTAACCACAACTCCTGGAAAATCATCTCTCTCCATATTTCCTGACTCTTGAGAGCATATGGAAACTTTGCTTTGTGATTTGCTCTTTTTCTTGCTGGTTAGTTAGGTATAATTTTAGAGAGGGTCTTTTCACAGTTATTTAACAGCCCTTCAAGCTCAATTACTCAGATCTGTTTGCTTACAGTGACTAATCCTTTACTCCTTGAGTCTCTCTGGGAAGATGCTATGTGAGGATACAACTGGTTTCCTCATTGTCTGATGAGAAAAAGACAGAAATCTCTCACGATATTTATAAAGAGATATAAATAAAGAGTATAAAGTATAAAGAGTATAAAGTATAAAGAGAACTGTGTCATTTCAGGATAAAGAATATCATGACTAATCTGAATTTCTGTCTTTCAAATTCTTCTTGTAGTGTGTGGGTTTCACTCTTGCTCCTTTCTGCAGGACTGCAAAGCTATCACAGTACAGTTATTTCTTGAGTAGGGTTTGAATAAGGGGAGAACAATCATAGACCTCAGAAAGGTAAAATGAGAGGTTCAATAATTCACAGGTGCCACTTTATCCACGAGAAAAATTACGAAACCTTCCGAAATTTTATCAGCAAAAAGTAACAGAGCATGAAGATGAATTTGAAACAGCACAATAAAGTTTTGTTCACAATCCATTACAGGCTCCCAAGTTCCACAGTCCCTTTTTCCATATGAGCTCACTGGAGGGAAAAACATGGCCCAAAAAGCACTAAGTGATCTAACTGTATTGTGTTGATAAAGACAAAAGGAGAATCTGGAACCCAATACACTTCTGAAGTCAAAGGAAGTATAGATGCTGTATCTTACCTTTGGCACAGCTCAGCTCATCACCTCTGTCAATAAGAAGGTATCTGGGACTTTCAGGAAACCATGGCAGGAATAAAAGTTGGGCAAATGCTGGAAAACAGCTGGTTGATAGCAACAGAGGCCAATGCTTTTCTCCACCTAGTAATTCTCTGCAAGAGGTGTAGAAAAATACAGAAAATAAAATAGTAATTAGCTATTGGTTACTATTTAGTGGAGTGTCCCTGTTCCTGGAACCTTTAAGATTCAGCTGGATGAAGGCACTAGCAACTCCCTCTGATCTCACAGGGGACAAAACCAGCAGTAGTGCTACAACACAGAAATGAGGAGTCCTCTGCTCTCAAGTCCTGCCTTGTGAACATCACTGTCCCCAGGAGAACATGAGCTCAGCACAAATGTACATGTTTCACTGATGCTGTCCTGGCTGACTGAGGCTCCATCCCTGGGGACAGAGTTGGCTGGCAGCTCTGGCAATGAGGTGACCAAAACAAGGTTTCTTCTTCCAGGGAGACCTTCTGGGTCAAATCTGATGCTACAGTGGCACAAGGAATATTCTGCAAACAGCTGCAGGAAACTGGAATTCTTTACATGGGACTAATACAAGATTGGGGGCAAAAAAAAAAAAGGCATTTCTAACCTCAAACCAATTATTTGTCCTGTGAGGATCCCACCAGTCAGAAAGATGGAAGTCCCCATGGCCAAGCCACCTCTTAGATGTTTTGGGGCAACCTCCCCAATATACAGAGGCTGCACACAGAGCCCAATACCTGCAAGTACATGGAAAAACATTTTCCTATTAATATGGCAAAGAGTTACTAAACCAAAACACAGAGGAAGTAGGACTTGGTTAATTTGCCATTAATTTAGCTGCCTTCTGATTCCAAGTTAGACTACAGAACATTTTTGTCATCCTAAACACACATCATATCAGCAGTAACAATAATTTAGCATTCACCATAGTTTATTGATAGTAGGAACAGGAAATCATTCACCTGAATTTATGCCAATCAAAAACCTTCCAGCAATCAGTAACTCAAACAATCCTGTAGGAAAACTGATCCCCATTAAAATGGAGGCTAGTATTGCTATAAAATTATTCATCAAAAGAGCTCCTTTCCTAAAGAGGAGGAAAAAACCAAAAATAAAACACCAAACCAAGCAAAAAAAATCTAAACAAACAACCCTAACCCAACCAGACATTCAGGAAATCTGCAATAACATGGTTTTTAAACAGTTTTCCTTTTGGCAATAGGGGGAAAAATGAGTTTTATACTGAAGAAATGTGCTGTTCTCTGGAAACCCAGAGAGCAGATACAAGTGCTTGTGTTCAGAAAGATGTCCAAACAGAAGAATAGTACATAAATGAGACAGAGATACCTGATAAGGGAGGAGAGGTTTGCTCAACATGAGGCAATGTGTCTTTCCTGGCATGAAGGCTGCAAACAGCAGTAGGACCCACATTCCCCATCACACACTGTGAGTTCTCCTACTCAAAGACTAAACCAGGGTATAATTCAGGGCTCATCATCTAAAGTCACATTGGAATAAACTGTAAAGTTCTACCAAAACACTCTGCTGTCAAGTGAAAAACATGTATAGACACCCAAGGTAGACTCTTCTTCCCCTCTTTTTCCCTTTGTTTACTTGCTATTCCAGGCAGGAAGAGCAAACACACTGCTCTGTGCTGCTGCTGGACTCACCTGCCCAGCCTGATGGCCATGCTGCCTCCAATCAGAGCTCCACACAGGCCTCCCAGGGAAAAGATTGAAGCAATGACAGACCAGAGGAAGGTCAGCAAATCTGGGTCTAGTTCCCTGTGATAGCGACTGGTCCAGGTTTCGTTTAAGAACTTGTGTATATGCTGCAGTAGAAGAGAACAATGTTTGTGTAGCATTATGGGCAGCTCAGCAGCACCAGGGACTTAACCCCAATCCTGAAAACCAACCCCAGCTAACAAAAGATATCACCTCAGTTGTGTTATATTAAAAACACTGATGAGTATCACAATCTGCTATGACCACAACACTGTTTCCTACACACCTCAGAGGCCACTGAGCAGCTTTGCCTCTGTTTTTAGGAACCTCTCAGAGAACAGAGGCCTCACAACCTAAAAGACTTCACTGTCAGGAAACTCATTTTGACACTTGATCTGAATCTTCCTGCCTCAATGTAATCCAACAAGTCATAGTAAAATTACCTTTGCAACTCTCCTCCATCTTTCTTACAGCATTCAGGTGTCAGAACTCTTAAACTCTTACTCTTCATGTTTAGTTTCCTAAAATTTGTCTTTAGAAGCTCCTGAACTGACACATATATGTGATCAGAGGCTCCTGCTCTTTGCCAGCACAAAAAGACCTAACAGAAGAACAAACTTTCTGGACTCTCCTTTTCCAGCATATTACATGTCCTTTCACAATCAGCTTCTTTCAGCCTTTGTAAAAAGCAGACAGTGTTGTAGCAAATTCAGTCTTCACAGTTTCATGAGCAAATAAATGAGCTGATGCAGAAAATTTCACTGATGACTTTCACAAGACCCTTTGCTCAGAGCAAAATCATCCACAAAAAATGCAGAATCCTCTAGGCCATGGCAAAAGGACACACAAGTGAAAATACCTACAAGTTACTCAGCCACTACAGATGCAATTTTTGCCTCCCTAAGGTGTGTCCCAGTAAGCTTCCTTGTGATGGGCAACTGTAACTATCCTTTCTCCTTGTTATCCAGTGATAGGGAATGGTCCAAAGCTGTGTCAGAGGAGGTTTAAACTTAAAATCAACACAAGTCCTTCATGGAGAGGAAGCCTGGTCCAATTCCCACTGCCATCGTGGTAAAGCACATTTGGCCTCTTGGCCAAGTTAGAGAGGAAACAGCCCCAGAACAAGAGATGAGCTTTTACCTGTGTGGGTGCATTGATAATGGAGACATTATACCCATACTGAAAGGTCCCTCCAATTCCAACAGCACAAACAGTCAGGAACAGTGTCCAGCTGGGGAGCTAGAGAACAAGAGAAAGTAATGGGCATGAAAACAGATAGAGCCTTGAACCCACATGCACATAATATCCAGGAGAAATATGGTCAGACACATCATGTGTTTAGTTTTGAACTGTGAAAGTATTTGTTTAGAAAGCTGCATGAAGTCCTAAGCACCTGCAAGAGGAGAAGCATTTCCTGCTGCCTTTGGCTGTGATCATTAACAGCCTTTAGAAATGCCACAAGTCTCCAGGGTAAGTGTAGGCAACATAACCACTGCAGGTTTCATGGGGAGCTGTGCTGATGCTTTTTGCACGAGCCACTCTGCCCACAGTGTCTGCTTTCAATAAAGAATGCCAGGACTGCTTAGGTTTGGTGATAGAGGCACAGCCACTCAGCCTAAGAATTAAGCAAATCCCAATTTCTATGACTCACATTTCAACCAAGATGTGAGAAATAAAGATATTTTATTTCCTTCTGCAAGTCCCTAAATTGATTACTTGATGTTTGCAAGTTAGCAAGTGCTAAGCCTTAGTATCTGAAACCACAACATATTGTTCACTGATCATGGCATTCAATCCAAAATTTATTAGCATGTACTTTTAAATTACTCAGTACTGATTGCCTAGTCACATTCCTAAATCAGTATTTACAAACTGAAATGAATAGATACAGGTTTTAAGGTCAATACAAACTACTATTATGGTACATTCAAACCTCAAGAGTCTAATTGATCATAAAACATCATACCTTTGGAAGAGGCCTCTGGGTCAGAGATCTCCAGAGGTTTTTACACTGTTTGGTTTTCTCATGCTCTGCTTTCTGACTCTGCTTCCTATCAAATCTGATTGCACAAAAAAAACCCCATCCAGTTCAAATGTTTAGCAATCCTTTCATCTAAAATTAGGTCCTATTTTCATCTCATTGTATCTTGTGGTCTAACTTCAGCTGGACACAACAATGTCTCCTATGTTAAAGGCACTTTGGCAATCAGATTTCCCCTTCATTCATATATAAAGAGTGTCCATATTTTTCTTATAAGCCTGTATAAGTTTATAATGCCCTGAAAAAATGCCCTCATAATGCCCTTACACAAGCCCTGAATTGTAAGGTATGTAGACTAATCCTTCATCATTCTCATTCTAGCCCCCAGAAATGCTGAGTACAGACACTTTACTGTATCCTGAATCAGTTGTGTCTTTCATGAAGATAAGTCATCAAAACTTCCTTCTTTCAGGACTGAAAAATCACAAGTTGAAATTGATCTTTGCTTAAAGTAAAATGCAATTAGCATTTCCTTACTGTTTCCTGAGAATAAAAAGTGTTTCTCTGAATGACAAGCAAAGCAATGAATCTTGAGTAATAAATCAGGGTTGCAGTGAGAATGATGGAAAAAATAAAGCTAGAGGTGGTAAATACTGGCACTGCTCACTCAGACCCTTCTATTAATCGAGTACATCAGCATATTTTGTGTGTCTCCTGGGTACAACCTGGAATCCAGAAGAGACAGAAGATGAACAAACAACTCAAAATCATTAACATGCATCACATAGCTTAGGTTTTGGTGTGAAAAATCTGTTCTTCTTCCTGCCCAGACCAGTCTGCCCATTACACTGACCTGTTCTCCCACACTGGAGTTGGGGCCCTGATCTCTCAAGAGAGGATGGACAACAGCCTCACCTGTTCTGTAAGCTACTGAACACCCAACAGTTTGCAAGCACCTTCACCTCATCTCAGAGACACGATGCAAACAAAATTCGATTTACATTCAGCATAAAACATGAGAAGATGTGCTTTTATAGCTTCCTTATAACACAGTTAGTTATCCGAGGAAAGCACAAAACTTTTTCAGCCTGATCATATTTCTCTTTGAAAGCTACCATCATCAGAGCATTTCACATCTGTGCACCACCACTAAAGCTACAAACTCCCTGCAGGATCCACCTTCAGAGGCCAGGACAGTTCTGCTTACCTTGCCAGGCGAGCTAGACCCTCTGAGCAGGGGCTGGTGCTCCATTCTGAGCATGGGCTGAATTGGATTTCCTTTGCAAAATTTAGTAAACTACATTACAGGAATAAAAGGGGCCAAAGAAATGAAATTATTATTGTATTAAGACACATCTTTTTTTTTTTTTTTTTTTTTTTTTTTTTGTTTGCAGTCTCTCCTCAACGGTTCCGAACTTTTTATCACAGAAACGCCCAACTTTGGTAAAACCTCCAAACAGCCACGGAGAGCTCTC